ACATATGTTTTTCATGTGTCCGTGTTATCTTTGCAAAAAATTTTGCGAAAACAATTTTTGACTTGCTTACGCTTTGCATTTTGTCATTCGTTGCTTCGTTCGTTCGGTTTTTTGCATTTTGCATTTTGCATTTTGTTTTTATTTTATTCTTTCCAAAATAGAAGAAAAGTATCTTAAGAAATTACGACAATGTTGTGCTATGAATGCACTCACTTCTTCTATTTATGTGTGCATATATTTGCAGATGCGTGTTTTTTTTTTCTTGCAAATTTTGTTGTAGCTGCTTTGTATGACGCGCTAAATACCCTGCGCGCGGCTGGTGCGATTCTGGCAGTGCCCACTGTTAGCCTCCCTCCCAGCCGGCACAAGTTTATTGCTAGCTACTGCTGCTGCTGTAGTTGTCTTTGTTGTTATTGCTTTTGTTATTGTTAGTTTTGATTTCCTCGTTGTTGTTGCCGCAGTCTCAAAAATAATTTTTGTTTACTTCTTTCTTCTCTTGTTTTTATGAAGACCAACAAAATTCTCGTTCCTTTCGTTGAAAAGACGTCAATGAACGAGAAATGATGATCTTAAGTTTTGAAGAGTGAATTTTTCTCGTATACGACGAGTTTAAAAACACACACACACATACACACACACACAAATATCTTTGCTCTTACATACAGTTTTGTGTTTACTGCAAATGGTTGTGTTAATAGCAAAATTTTGAAAAAATTCCTCAATAAATATCCAACACATTTTACAATTAATTTTTTGTTTACTATTGCTGTATTGTGTTTTAATTGATTTATTATTTTAATGTTTCAATTATAGTCTTATTTTTTCATTTTACTGGTTCTTAGAAACATGGCGATACCGTAGAGTGGATGAAAACTTAAAATGATTTGCGTATAAATTATTTATCAAAATTTAGATATAAGTTCTATATATTATATGGTATGTACGAGCTCATTTGTATGTATGCATGTATTTATAATAATAATTATTGAGAAAAACAATACTCTTTGTTATTGAATTCTGACATAATGGGAGTTAAATAAAAAAAACAACTGGATGGAAAATTTCCCTGCACTAAACTTTTTGAAGGGGACATTTTCAAACCAAATATTAGTCTTATTTTTTTTTTTTTTTTTTGAAATCAAGAGAGTACCAAATAAATATAAATTTATTATTGGCTTACTTGGCAAGATTTTGGACATAATAAAATATTAATAAATCTGAATTAAAAAGTAATAATAAATAAAAATATACATATTAATATTAAACAATTAAAATTTTAAATAAATATACATATTGCAAATTGAAAACAACAAACAAAAAATATGTGGTATTGAAAATGAAAACGGTAGAATATTGTTATTACTGATTGAAAATAATTCTCATTTTGTAAATAACAAAAAAAAGTAACGAACAAGCAATAAGAAAATAAGTAATATAAAAGTAATAAAATTTTATGTATTTTTTTTTGTAAATGAAGCAGTCCTCGAAATTATATCTATACCTTTTTTAATATGATTTTAAATTGAATATTGCATTTAATTTTTTTCTTATATTAGGAATTCATAAAATATATATATATATTTATATTCATATACATACATATTTGCAGGCCCATTGCACTTGATAAATTCACCAACTTGCTTATTTATCAAGATTTTTCTATTCTTTGTCATGAATAAAAAGCTCTTTTCTTTATAAATTGTCAAGATGTCAAATGCACTTGACAGCGTTTGTTTTACAAATAAAACATCTTTTTACTGTTTGTGCATAGTTGTGAATAACAAATTGTAAGAAAGAATGATATATATTTCACTTATATTTTTCTTGTCGGGCGAAGATGAAAATTGCGAAAATCGTTTGACTTGCGAAATTTGCAGTCATCTCATAAATGAACTGGCTCCACATGATATCCAATCAGTTTATAAATGTTTAACCCAAAATCACCGGGGCAACACATGTCTATGGAATTCGGGCAACTTGTGACCTAAGGGAGCATCTCATTCGTCAGCAAAATTATATGTCTGTACAACAACAGAAAGAACCTTGTCTTATTGGCGATCAAGGTTATCCTCTAGAGTCGTGGCTTCTAACACTAGTTGAAGATCCTAAATTCCCTAAAAAACTAAAGTACCACAAACGAGATAGTGCTGCCAGTATACAGTATATACGTGGAGGTGAAAGACCTACGTTCAGATATATATCAACCCTATAGTTATTAAGTAATCGAAATATAAACATTTTCATATTTGATTTTCCGAATATACTACAGTTATATACTACAACTATACATACATATTTGTATATCTATTTTCCCATTATCCTAAAAGAATTGATGTTAGCAAAAACAGCTGATTTCTGCTTACATTCCATTATTCACCACAAGTGTGGGGAAAAGCTCAACAAACTGTAGCTTTATGTTTTATCAAGATTGACACAGAATACCAAATAAATTCTTGCTTGTTAAAAATCTTGATAAATCATCAATATTTTGTTAATTTGTCAAGTGCACAAAATAGGGCTGTTGATGTGTAGAAAATTTATAGATTTATTTTTTAATTCAACGTATTTTTAGAACGAAATATTAATAACGATTATCATTGTTAATGAAAACCACCAATATAAAGAGGCATATAATTTAAGATCTCTTGAAATCGCAGAGACTAATTACTGGAATGAGGTTCTAAATAATTTTATTCAACAAAAAATTAGAATTAATTATATGTATATTAAATTAACGAAACCTTTTTGATCGATACACAAACAGATAATATTAACAAAAATAACTGTTCATTTAGTAAATATTGCACATATATAAAAGGTATCAAATCATGAACAAAAATTTAAATGTTTTAAAATTATTAGTATGTTTTATTTTTTTTTTCTTGAACGAAAAAATGACTGCAAAGCTAATATTATATAAGTAATATATTTAAAAATTATAACAATTTTTTTTATAAGAAATCAGAAGAAATTTAAAAATAAAATTTTCTTGTTTTATTATTTTTCAATCACGAAATAATCAATAATCACGGGTAACCGTTAAAATGACAGCAAATAGCAAATCAATAACATTTCGCTGCGAATTTTTAACCAATAAATTTATTATTTTATATCAATGAATAATACATATATAAATATGTGTGTACGTATGTATGTGAATAGTCGCGTATGATATGGATGAACGTGCAAAGTGTCAAAGAAAAGACATCGCACACATACACACATTAATAAATTGGTTGTATAAAAAAAAAAACAAATGAGCATACATATGTATGTATATTCATTTATGTACATACATACATATATGCATTTATTTACCCCATTGAATGAATGAATGAATTTTTAAAAGCGGCCACTTCCGCCCCCAAGCTGCAACGCCTTTCCAACTCGCCAGCCATAGCATAAACTCGATCAGCGAACCGACGGACGACCGACCGACCGGCTGTCCGTCCATTTCAATGCGATCGTGGCAATAATAAAACACTCACACACTTGTGATTGCGAGTTGTGAGTGAACAGCGATGCCGCGATGCCGCGATGCGAGTTGTTGTTTGTTGGTTATTGGTTGCGCGATGCGAGAGATGAGGCTCGACGCGGCCGTAGTCGAGGTCAAAAGATTAGTAGATCGTGTCGTGTATGTCTGTGGAGAGGAGCACACGCGGTTGTAGTAGTGGTGGTGGCGATCGCAGCAAGCACACAAGTATTGTATATATGGGCATGTTCACAACAACACACAAACACAAAAAAACAAGCAAATAATATCATGTGTAGGCAACACATACTATCTGCGCATAGCAACACCGGATGTGAGCCGGGCGTTACAAATATTATGTGTGTGTTGTATTGCTTGGCATACAATATACTTATTTTATTAGAGTAAACAATAAATTAATATTTTGTATTCAAATATATATATATGCATATACATATGTACGTATTTAGTTGGGTGGGAGAAATTGTTGAATTGGAAAGTTAAATGAAAGTAATAAATTTGTGGGATAATTGATGGAATCAAATATTTTTAAGCTTGTTTTTCAAGTGACTTACGTTGGAAAACATTAAACATTGATAGTTTTTTTAAGAGCCATAGTATATACATATTCATAAGATAATATATATAATAATATAATATAATAATATTACTTCAGAATCCTTTCAAAATTGCTTGATTCGGATAGTTATTAGGGTATTTGATATTTAGATTTTTTTCAATTTAAGTAAGCTGAAAATAATGTACTCCACTTTCAAAAATTGAAGAAAAGCTTTATCAAGTACCAAGCATGTTTGCTTTGAAAGCATTTTAACTCTTTTTTGAGAAAATTGACATAAAACGGAAGAGTTATACGTTTTCTGCAATTATTTGGTTCTAAGCAGTTGTAAGTAAGTGAAAGTTATTATAAAATTTACTCTATTTACACAAGATTCTATTCATTCAAAAACTAGTGAACTGTTTTTTTTTTGGGGCTACCGAACGTCTGCGAAAGTCAGAAAATGAATTTGAATGTGAGGCTAAATTATGCAACACCAAACCGGAGTAAGGTAAACATTTTGGGTGCCCATTTTTTGCATCTCCCATTGAATATCTTTTATTTAACATGAAATTTATTAGCCAGTTTGTTTTCAAATATTACAAAAAAAAACATAAGATTTGAAACTTTTATTTCAGCTGTATAGGCTAATATTTAGATACACTCATTGCTTAGCAAAATGTTTTAATTACGAAATTTTCGGGATTCAGTAAGCTGTAAGCTACCTGACTTGGTATCAAAACTTAAAATGTTGTCACTTCCGTTTATAAATCATATTGAAAAAACAGAAAACAAAACAAATTATGTGCGGTATCCTTGTTTTTTTTTTTTCTTTCTAATAGTCTTTTAACTTTTGGAAGTTTCGAAAATACTTTTTATTATCCCAATAAGGTGTTTATGACATGATTTCGTATAGAAATTTAACGCCATTGCATTTTCATTGATTCAATTATTTACTGTTTATCAACTTACATTAAATTTTAAAAGCAATCCAAACGTAGTTTCATCCTATATATATAGGTATCCAAAGTTCATAGGATGTTCTTCTGGCTGATTATGTTGGTATATTGCAGCAGCTAACAGTAATTACTTTTTAAATCAATTTTTTGAAAATTTAAACGTTTTGCACTAAATTCCAATAAGGATTAGTAAGAATCATACGCAATAAAAAGTAAACTTTAAATTAATGTTTACATGGATGGGTGTATTTACTTTGTATATTATATAGGCACATTCGCATTTTTTTCCTGTTGATGTGAATAATGTTTTGACACTGTTTTCATAAATTATTTGCCTTGCAAAATTTTTTTCGCTGATAGCGGTTTTTATTTTTTTGAGTGAAACACGTATGTATGTATGTATTTAAATTTTATTAATGTAGATATTTATGTATGCAAATTTTTTTTTCACCTTCAACACATGCTTATATACATACATGGGTATGTATATTCCTAAAACAGTCGTGTTGTTTATTTTTAATTTTTTTAATTTTAATTCGTTGGCATTTATGTACTTGTACATATGTACGTGTGTACATTTGCAAGTAATATTTTGAAAATTTCGTTTAGATCGGCAATTTCATAATTTTAAATGCTTCTTTTCTGTGTGCTTTTTAATATTCTTATGTTTTGTTTTCACTCTTGTACACTTGTCTGCCATTCAGCATTGATGAGGATTAATATTTATTTATTTCTTTTTAAATTCGGCTTACGCCAGCTGAGGAAGTATCTAAAAATATATTCATATTAAAGCACTGATTAGAAATTTCGTTGAAGAATTTATTAACAAATTAATTAGTATGTAAATATATTTGTAAGCCTAGAAATTCGAGAATCATGGACTGCATTCTACCCCACCACTCTGCGATTTTTTGGACATTTAATAAAAAATGCGATAATAATTTTATTTTAAGGATATCTTTTTGTGATTTTTTGAAAATAACACAAACACTTTGAATTGAATGTTGGCGTAATTACTTTTGCTTGTAACTAATTTGTTTATCCACGAAAGTAAAATTTTTTATTGATCATATTCCAAGCGCACTGTAGTGCTGTGCTACCTATTTATTGCTTACAAAATTATTGAATTTTCTTAATTTCCACTTCACTTTTTCATCAGCCCAACGCACACTCAGTTCATTTGTATGTATATTTTTTTAACGAAAATATTTACATATTTCACTTTTTTGTAGGCTTTTCGGTGATTCAATTCGGTTTTATTTCAATATATGCCGATTTAAACACTAATGAAAATATGGAAAACTATTGAATTTTTTCATCAAAAACATCCGCACCGTTGGATCCGTTCCACACGCTTATAATCTGATCGCACGATGAGCGCTACGTCTGTCGAGTTTTTAACTCACAAACTTTTTTAAGCGAAATGAACTACGTTAATGTGCACGACGAGCCGCCAACCGACAAAATTTTTGCCTTCTCGCTGTCTACAGTTTGCCCACATGCCAGCCATCACCTATACAAACAAAGCGACGGCGGATACGTACAGCTGTCGTACGTATATTATCGGTATCTATACGGATACAGTGGGCGAGGGCGAATGTAGCCGTGACTACGTATGTGTATGTATGTGATGTGGCATAGCTGTAATGAAGTGCTCTCTCATAGAGAGCGAAAATAATTTGAGTAAAAAACTCAAAAGCCCAATTCGCTTCGAGTATTTTTCACATCTTTTCTTGAGAATTTCGATGAGCTCGGTTGCAGGTCGAAGTCAATGACTCAAAGTCCAGAGAAAATACATATATCCGCTCACATATATCCATTCATACTTTTGTATAGACGCGCACACTCGTTGTAGGCGATACTGTTTGAGCGTCAAACTGGCTCTGCCTGCTCAACGAGTTCACACTACCGGTCTTTCTTTCATATCGTCGTTGGAGAGTCGGTGTACGTGTATTGGCGTTCGTTCGCCCACTTGCGGCGAATTCATTTCAAAATGAATGAAAAATTTAATGAATGCCGGTGCCATCGAACGATCACGCCGATTACTCTAGCAAAAAAAGTTTACCAGTTTATGAAATCAAATGAAAGTACATGCCGTGTGTGCGCGTGTGTGCGCGAGTGTGTGTGTATACATATGTATGTATCTATGCATGTGTATAGCGTAGATCACAGCAGGCGGCTACCATACCTGTTTACAAAGAAATCTATAAGATGTACGCGGGTACGCAGGTACGCAGGTATAAATTGTATACATACACATGAAAACATACATACATTTGTACCAATGTACATATGTATATACACTTTCGTGTCTGTTTCGCTGGAAGCACACATTCAATTCGCCTCTTTCTACTTATAGACATGCATACATACATATGTACATATGCACATATAAACGTTTTGCTTCAATTCATTTTTCCGCAGCCTTAATATCTCTTGTTTTCTTGACTCTTCCTCATTTTAGTGTTGTTTTCTTCTGCCTGTTTTTCCTTAATTTCATTCTTTTTTACATTTTTTTATAGCTTGCTTTTGTTTGTCTTTTTCCCCTTCGCATTTGTTAATTGAAAAAATTTTTCATTCTCAAATTTTTGCTGCGGCAGCAATAAACGAATGATCAACCGACCGACCGGCCATTATACTGTCTGTCGGTCGGTCGATCGATCGTTGCTCGGGCGGTTTCGTGCAAAGATTTTTAAGCATATATAATACACATATATATGTATGTATGTGTGTATGTAATTAGGTGAACGGTTGGGACCGGATGAGCGTCAAAACAGATACAGATATGCACAGTATACATACATATGTATGTACACATATCGTACATATACACAACATAATTGCGCGGGTCATACGTATTACATACGTATGTACATACATATGTATGTTTATATATAAGTAGTCAAAGTTACCAACAAACGACTGGTAATAAAAGCCAACATACCGGCCCGAACGTCCTACAGATCTGTAAGTATGTACCTGCATACATACATACATATGTATACATATGTATATTTATGCATAGTTAGATCTATACACTATCGTTGCGATATGTCCATGAACGTATGTCCACATGTACTATATACATATGTATATATATATATGTACAGATGTATGTATGGATGTATCTCAATGTGATTATGTAGTTTGATTTTAATGGGTACAAACATACCTACAAACAAACGCGTGTATGTACATACATATACATACAGAGTTACATATGTATGTATAAATGTACATATATAATTAGTGCTTGATGACCGCGAATGTGATATTCGGCCGATTTTCTCCCCCATTTTCTTGTCTTGATGTTTTTTCCACAATATGAAGGAGCTTATGTATAATACATATATTCTAAGCCATCTCTTTTTATTTCATATCAGAAATATATATATTCCGCAATTAGGCAAATTAATTTTCTGTTACATTGGTATGTTATTTTGGCCAGGTTACGAACCCTTGACTCTCCGCATCATAGCACGCACTACTAATTACTCCGTTGCTGCAGTCGCTTACATATATACATATGTACATATGCGTGTATAAACTCCACAAAAGCATGTGTATGCAGAATACCTACTATGAACATACATATTTACATACATATGTACATATACATATGTATAAACATTCATATAAATTTGTATGTATGTATGCTTATAAATTTGTATGTATGTATGTATGTCCGTTGATGATGTTGTTTGTTAATCGTGTTGATCGTCTTCATCCGCTGCTGCTGTCACAGTTACTGCTATGAATTCGCAGCTCAAGTGGAATGCTGAATGAACTGAATGGGCAATTTTTGCGCTTTCAATTTCGCTACATACATACATATGTATATATATACTTGTACGTTCATGGATTCATGCTGGCTTTACGATCTGCGCGATCTACAGTTTAACTATTTAGTAGCGTATCAACAGTGAGTGAAGCGAATTTAGCGATTTCGCTTAAATCGCACAGCTAAAGAGCATTTGATACATACATATGTATGTATATGGATGTATGTAAATATGAATGGCCTGCGAATTCTTGCTTACTTATTTAAGTTGGGTTCAGTGTGATGCTGACTGGGGCCGCCAACAACATTTTCATGTTGGGGTGCACTGGCTGTTCTAGCCCAGTAACGGGCCTTACACATTTCAGCATCATTTACCATGTATGTATGTATGTATATGTGCAAATGTTTAGAAAATTTAAAAGGGGGAGGGCCCTGAGGTCATAATAGTTTTCCAAAATGTGTGGTATTTGTATATATGTATGTATAAATATGGAAAATATTTGTTGATTTTTATTGTACATTATTTTTCGGCAGCCTCTAGATCGACTATTTCCGTTTTTCATTTACATATTCCACCCCCAACAGCAGCAGCTAAAAGCCGCGGGGGACAGCAGTGGCAGTAGCTTTTATTGCTGCCGCGCAATTTTCAAGTATTTTTCATTATTATTGTAGATTATTTTGTAGATAAATAGTAAATATTTATATCGGTACATATGTACATACGTGTATGTAGTACATTGTGCACACACTTTACGCTTTATCATTTACTATTTGCTAATATTTCTTCGCTTCCGCGACTTTTTTTTATAATTCTAATTTACATATGTACACACATATGTATGTATCTATGTATGTATATGTTTGTGCTATTGTATTTTTAATTGAGTTTCATTTTTTATTCACAGCTATTTTTGTTACGCTTTCTCGATCATTGTGTTTTATCATTATATGCATAGATTTGTGTTCGAGCGTATGTATGTATATGTATATGTACGTACATACATATGTACATGTATGTACATTTGTTTTTGCGGTTTCACAAGTTTTAATTCATTTTTTCTTATTTCTTTTTATTTCTATTTGCAATTGTTTTATTGCATTGTATTTTTCCTTGCTCAATTTTTATTGTTGCATCACACATGTACTCTTATGTACAAGTACACATCGCGATATACATGCATACGTGTATGTATTTGTTACAAAAGTTGCTGTATTTTTTTCTTTTATTGTTGTTATTATATTTTTAATGCCATTATTGTTGTTCGTGTTGCTTTCATTTGTCAATGAAATGAATGAATTTGCACTTGTGCGACGACAGCGACAAATACGAATATTTCGGTGGGCGGTAGGGCAGGAAAGCAAGCGAGCGGACGGCGACAGCGCTGAGAGAGTTAGTATGCGGGTCTTTCAATTTGGTGTGTGTGTGGGGGAAGATTAACCATTAATAAATGAGCGATGTGGGTGGGGATTAATGAGGTAGTTAGTGAGTTTTTTTGTTTACGGGTTAGTTAAAGAGTAGAAAAATTGTGAGTTTTAATTTTTGGCATTTAGGCTATTTGGGATTTTGAAGGAAATAAATCTTTGATAACTATTATTTTAATGACGTGATGATTTTTTATTCAATCATTTTTGTTCAACTTCTCATTTAGGGTTCAAAGAAGTTTAGGGTTCAAAGAAGTTAAATTTATATATATTCCTAAAATAATTATAAATTTTACATTTATTTATGTAAACTATTTCAAGTGGATATACATATGTGCATATGCACACACATTTTCAAATTTTTTGTGTTTCTAAGTTTTTGTATATTTTTACACTTATTTTTATTGATTTTTTACATATTATAAATTTATTATAATTATTTTTTTTTTATTTTGCACTGTTTTATATGTTACATACATTTTTAATTTCTTTATTTGTTTTTTACTTTCAGTAGAACTTTTATATTTTTAATTTATATTTTTTTCGATTTACTAATATACATATGTATAATAAATAAAAATATAATTTTTAATTGTAGGTATATATTCTCTTTTGTATGCCTTTAACCTTAATTTTGTTAATTTTTATACATATATTTTTATAATATCGTAATATTTTTGCATTATTATTTCATTTGTTTATATTACGTAATTTTTGTAATTTTTATTTTTATTTTTATATATGATACAATTCTTAAATTTCTTGTTTTTTTGTATGTATTAAAAAATTTATAATTTTTTTTTTTTAATTTTTATATGTAGGTATGTATATTGGTAATTTTTATAACTATTAAATTTTTTATTCACCTTTAAATTACTTTAGCACTCGGGAACAGTAAAAAAAACACGGTTACAGCTTGTCGAACTCCAATGCCGAGCTTTCATTTGCTTTCGTGTTGTTTTATGAATATTTTTCGTTTTATTTTTCTTTTTTGTTGCTAATTGTTGTAAAGCTTCTATTGATAATTGTTAATGCATATTTTATTAAATACAGAATAATCAACTGTTCCCTCCGGCAATGTCGTTGCTTTCCTTAGTTTACACATCTTTTATTTGTTTTTTTTTTTTATATATTTTTTTTGTTTCGCCTTTGTGTAAATTTTTATTACTTTTTTACAAATTTTCTGCTTGAATTTCTGGATGATTTTTCATTTTCTTTAGTACATTCTTATTAACTTAACATGAAACACGCTTGTTTAAATAAACTCGTTTAGTCGTCTTGTAAGCACTACACCAACATTTTTATGATTAAAATATGGATTCAAAAATACACCGCTCGTACAAAAGAATTGAAAAAATAAACATAAGCTTGTTTATCATATTGCCTTGGACGATTCCTCTTACATTTTTTTTCTTGCTTTTTGTTTTGTATTTTAATATCGCGTAAGACTCTCCTCCTCCATAATCATACTGACTGACACACACACGTACAAACGCTCGATATTCGACGTCGTTATCCTAACCGTCCGATTCGGCGAAAATATCTCAAGCAACTAATGTGCCAGCAAACAGGGCGTCCGCAACGCCAACACACGCGCTAAACTCGATTTTTGAGTTTTGAGCGCAAAGTGTCGAGAGAGTCTCGTTGCCAAACGGCGAATTAGTGGCTACTTCACTAACGGAAATGCATACACATTCATACATACATACGATTCGCATACCCAATGACATATCTGCTGTGCATCAGTTTCCACGGCGAATTCAATTGTCTCAAATTGAAAGCAAAATACTCAGCAAGCCAAGTGCTTGCTCTGCTCTATCTGTTCTCTGAAGCACCCACATACATACATACATACATAGGTAAAGCGTAGTTTATATGTGTTCGTGTGTAGAGTAGGCCCTCATGCTGCGAATCGGAAATTATTCATTCATTCATTCAACTTTAGGCGTGTTTTCCTTTATTTCATTTATAGTTCTTTTTTACGGCTTGCTTTTTGCTTTGTTTCTTGCAGCGAATTCTTAATTCAGCTGTGTAACGGCGACAAAAGCAATCGAGTTCAATTTAATTTATTTCCACCTACCTACTACCAGATACTTTATTAACTATTCGCACTATTTGTTGCTAACTAAACAAATTAACAATTACTATGTGTATAAATTGTGTAACGGTAAGCATACATATGTGTACGTATTCATGGATTTATTTATGTAGATAAAATTAGTTAAATTTTATACATAGTTTTGTGAGGGTTCTCTTGTATTAAAGTCTTTTATTAAAGTTCTTTTGCTTCATCTGAATGGTTTTTATG